GTGTACTATCACCACACCTATGACATAATTTTACTTCACATTGAAAGACCTCATGCTCATAACTTCCACATCGCTGACATTGTCGTTTTTGTGCGACATGAATCAGTTGGACCTTTCTCCCCAAAATCTCCATATAATTTGGGATACACCGATGAGTCGACATTAATACTCGGTAAATTCCAGTTTTTACCTCTGTCTCTGGGTATTTATTAACCTTAACGTTTACCAGTTTCCCATACACCGATAACATTTTGGACAATAAAGCCCCATCGACCTCAACAGGAACCAACCGCACTGTTACTAATATTAATTCCACCTCCGAACTTTCCACTGTATAAATAAAATTGCCTACCTTTATCTCTCTACCTAAGAGATTTATCTTGTCATCTTCCGTTTTTAATTTGATTTCTACAACATTTCTGGGGTGGTAACTCACTTGCTCAATTGTTCCTTTTTTCCTCAGAGTTCTTTCAATTGTTTCAATTAACTCTACTGTATCCAAATGTTCTTTTGAGTTTATTCGCACTGATCGTATCACGGAATATCTTTTCATCCTCTCCTGTTTCAGATCTTCACTATCTTTTCCCATACTGCTTCCTTTCTCAGTTGTTTGTGAATCACTTTCAATGACCGCTGATGTTGATATTTCTCCTCGATTACTTTCACTATAAGCACTAATTTCTTCTTGTGTTGCTCTAACCAACACCACTTGACATCTGGGAGGATTCTCTCCCTCCTTACCATCATTCATACTCGCCCGACCCCTCGATGTTGGTTCCTGTCCGTGGTGAGGGGACCTCCCAGAGATGGTTTAGTAACTCTTCTTTACCATCCCTGGGATCTGAACGCCCACCCACGTGTTTGCCTTGCATGGTGTCTCGTATGCCAGAAAGGGGGATCCTGGTACTTGAGGGGCAACATAACATCCCCAACACACTGCTTTGGCCCCTGCTTCGGATAAACGGGAGGCTCAAATCAGGCTCCGTTTGAGTCAATCGGCTGGTCGTTGAGTCATTCTCGACCTCGGCTTGGAGTCAACCGATCGATGCAGACCGGGCGGACATGTCAGTCTAGATGTGCTCTTCTTGACTGCATTGTGAGGGTATAGCTCCTGGGAAACCCTGGTGTGACGGTCTATGGAAGTACTCCATGTGACAGCATCCCCTTGTTGGGCCCCATGGTGGGTGGGGTCACTAGGAGCGGAATTTTTTCTTTAATTATGGATTCAAAAAATTCAAAAAGTTCTTGTGCACCAACAACAAAAACGAACGAAAAAATCTTTACTAATCCAGCGTACTTAGTAGTGCACGCAACTGGAGAAAAACCCTTGGCTAAAGCTTCTCCTTTCTTGATTCAAAAATTGTTTGAATCGACCATTGGACAGTTGAAAAAAATACAGAAATTAAGATCTGGAGATTTACTGGTGGAAACATCTTCCCTACAACAATCGGCAAAACTTCTGGAAACAAAGACCCTAGGAGAAATGGAAGTCACTGTCACCCCACATGCGAGCCTAAACTCATCACGTGGGGTAATATCTGAAATCGATCTGATATCTGAAGATGAATCAGATATTCAGATTGGCTTTTCAAACCAAGGAGTCACTGCTGTTTGACGCATTTCCATTCGTCGAGATGGCAAGTTGATTCACACGAAACATCTTATTTTGACATTTAATAAACCGACTTTGCCATCTGTTATTACAGCAGGTTATCTGCACTGCCCAGTTCGCCCTTACGTTCCAAATCCGCTACGTTGCTTTAAATGCCAGTGATTTGGACATTCACAAACATCATGTCGAGGGAAAAGCATATGCGCACAGTGTGGAAGTGAAGGTCACGACAGTACTGAGTGTACCACTACTCCATGCTGTGTGAATTGCAAAGATGCCCATTCCGCCTACTCTCGAAAATGCCTAACATGGCAGAGAGAGAAAGAGATACGGCGAGTAAAAACCATTAACAACATACCATATCCAGAGGCTCGGCGCATGGTCACTCAAAGCATAGCAGTGAAACAGAAAACATTTGCTTTTGTGTTGAAATCCACAAAGACATGTGGGGTTCAAACCGATATCTCTGTCTCCCCAAGCGAATCTCTTACTCGCCATGCGAAATGCTTAATACTCCCGTCTACACAAACACCAGAAAAGGAGATCACAAAAGGAAAAACACCCCTGCCTAAAACAGGGGTAATTACAAGAAATCTGGGTTCTAAAAAGGCTAGTAAGAACCCACTAAATAAGCAGAGAGTGAAAGCAGCTCTCTCTAAATCTAAAAAATCAGAGGCTCAGTCCATGAGTGAGTTCTCTGATATCTCTGATGAAGAGACTAATATGGAGGTGACCCAACCAACGTCTTTTCTAAAAGGAAAATCATCAGTTAAACTGAAGAGGGACACTTTTTCTAAGAATGCTGTCTCAAACACATAATGGATTATAAAATAATTTAATGGAACTGTCGTGGTTTCCGCAACAACTTCTCTGACATTAAACATTTGACATCATCTACCTCATCTCTCTGTGTGGCACTCCAGGAGACACATCTGAAACCTGGAGAGGGAATTACTTTAAAAGGATTCAATCTCTACCGCAAGGATGATGATAGCCACAACTGTGCCAGTGGCGGTGTGGCTATTTTAATTTCCAATCACATCCCATCCTTGCCGGTACATATAACAACAAACCTGCAAGCTGTGGCAGTCAGAATTTCTATTGGAGTAACTGTCACAGTGTGCTCTATATACTTGCCACCAGATGTCAGAGTCAACGAAGATGAACTGGATGCATTAGTTGAACAGCTGCCAACACCATTCCTTTTACTTGGTGATTTCAATGGCCACAATCCTATGTGGGGCAGTCCCGACATTAATCGTCGAGGAAGAGCCATTGAACGACTCATAGGTAATCAGCAAATGTATTTATTTAATACTGGAGAAGTGACATACTTCCATGCCCTAACAAGAACATTCACTGTTATTGATCTCTCATTAGCAACTCCGAATCTGTTTTCAGCATTTTCATGGGAGGTTGGATCTAATCCACTTTCTAGTGACCACTTTCCAATATTTTTAAAATATCAAGGCAGAGAAAGCTGTGAAACAGCCCGTCCACCACGCTGGAAATGGAAACGGCAGATTGGCCTACTTTTTTTTCTTTGGCTAACATCACTGAGGAAATTATCAATACTGCTGATATCAATGACGCAGTTGAAGTTGTCACTTCCAGTATTATTTAGGCAGCTGAAAAAACAATGGGAAAGACGTTAACAAGATACCCAAAACATCCAAAACCATGGTGGAACCACAGTTGCGAGGCAGCATTTAAAGCACAAAAGAAAGCATGGGGGATTTTCAGAAGATACCCCACTGCTAGAAATTTGATTGCTTTTAAAAAGCAAAGGCAAATGCCAGAAGAATAAGAAGGCAAAGCCAAAGGGATTCTTGGAGGAAGTATGTTTCTAGCATAACATCTTCCACTAGCTCAAAAGCAGTCTGGGATAAAATCCATAAAATTAATGGGAAATATGCTTCTCACTCTGTGTCCATGCTGGAGAATAATGGCACAATAATCAGCGATATACAGGGTATTGCTGATTTACTGGGTGAAACATTTTCTGCTTTATCCAGCAATATTATGTATCCAAGGAATTTTCAAGCTTATAAAGCACAAAGAGAAAAACAAAATTTAAATTTTCATTCTTCATTTAATGAGGAATATAATGTGCCATTCACCAGCACAGAACTACATACAGCGATTTCTCGCTCGGGGAATACTGCTGTAGGCCCGGATAAAATCCACTATAGCATGATTAAAAATCTGTCAAATAATTCCCTTTCTAATCTTCTGAATCTGTTTAACAGAATATGGATAGAACAAACTTTCCCCGACTCTTGGAGGCTATCTATCATTATTCCCATTCCCAAGCCAGGCAAAGATTGCAAGAATCCCTCTAATTACAGACCAATCTCTCTGACAAGTTGTCTTTGTAAACTCCTAGAGAGGATGGTAAACAGATGCTTGATGTTCCTCCTAGAGGAAAAGAACTACTTTTCACCACACCAGAGTGGATTTCGTAGGAACAGAAGTACCACGGACAATTTAGTAAACCTTGAAACATCTATACGCGAAGCGTTTGTTAGACGACAGCACTTAGTGTCTGTATTTTTTGATATAGAGAAGGCCTACGATTGCTGCTGGCGATTCGGAATACTCTGTGATTTGCACAAATTTGGATCACGTGGTAATTTGTCAGCTTTTATAAAAAACTTTTTGCAGAATCGAAGATTCCAAGTCAGAATGGGCAACACTTTATCTAGGCCTTTCACGCAAGAAGAAGGTGTCCCTCAAGGCTCTATTTTGAGTGTGACTCTGTTCCTAATCAAAATTAACAGCATAGCTAACTGTCTTTCTCCCAATGTAAAACACTCTCTGTACGTGGATGATTTTCAGATCTCCTGCCAGTCTAGTAATATGAGTTTCATTGAGAGACAACTGCAAACCTTTCTAAATCGCATAGACAACTGGTCCAAGACCAATGGTTTTACTTTTAATACAGAGACTTCATGCATCCACTTTTGCCGAAGGCGTGGTATGCACCTGGATCTGGAAATTTACCTAAATGGGGATAAAATTTCAATGGTGAATGAGACTAAGTTTTTGGGTGTTTCTTTCGACCAAAAACTGACATTTTTGCCACACTTGCGCAACCTGAAGAGTAGATGTTTAAAATCTTTAAACCTTTTGATGGTACTATGCTGCTCATCCTGGGGAGCAGACAAAGTTTCGATGCTCAGGATTTATAGGGCTTTTGTCCGCTTTAAGCTGGACTACGGTTGCACTGTTTATGGCTCTGTGCGAGAATTTACTCTTCGGATGCTGGATCCTATCCACCATCAAGCTTTGCGTTTGTGCACCGGTGCATTTTGAACTTTCCCTGTTCAAAGTTTGTATGTGGATGCTTATGAGCCTTTACTATCTCTCAGGAGAGAACAGTTGTCTCTTTTTTATTACATTAAACAAAAATCTTAGAAAAAACTTACAGCTGATTGTTTAGATACTCAGCTGAAAAGATTATTTGTTGCTCGGACGAGTTGTGTCCCTACATTTGACATTAGAATGGAGAATGTAAGCAGCACGATCGACTTAGACCCAAGCAACATCTCACATGTTGAGGTTAATAGTATTTCACCTTGGTCATCTTCACCGATCGATGTTGATTTAAGCTTAAAGCAGTTCCCTAAAGAAACCACGCCAGACTACGTCTATAGACAGCACTTCGCAGAAATTCAGCATCGTAACAGGAATTTAATTCCTATATACACCGATGGATCTAAATCGGATAACTATGTTGGCTTAGCCTTTGTTTGCCAGGATGAAATTGTGGCAGAACAAATAGCACCGAATTCTTCCATCTTTTCTGCGGAGTTGCAGGCTATTTATTTAGCCTTAAAGTATATAAATCGGAAAGGTCATCGTTGCTGCGTGATTTACACTGACTCAGTTAGTGCACTTCAGGCTTTGATCTCGTATGAACGTAGTTCTCACTCCATAGTTATTAAAATTCGAAAACTAATTTGTCATCTCACTACGAGAAATTTTTTTGTGAAGTTCTGTTGGGTCCCAGGCCACGTGGGTATAAGAGGTAATGAAGAAGCTGATACAGCTGCTAAGTCAGCAAGTCCTTCACAGCATACAATGCGTATTGAAGGAGGTGATTTGAAGCTAGTCGTTAAAAAACGACTAGCAGAGAGATGGCAAAACGTGTGGAATGCACAAATCCACAATAAACTTCACGAGATCAAACCTTTGGTAGAAAATTGGACACATAATAGGCAATATGATAGGAGATCTGAGGTTATCCTTACTCGTTTGAGAATTGGACACACTCGACTGACTCATCAATACCTTTTGAAGGGAGATGAAGAACTAGTATGTCAGCACTGCAACTGTGCTGTAAGTGTTAAACACATATTTTGCAACTGTGTTGCTTTTGATCAGAGTCATAGACAGCATTTCGGAAATGCAAGCTTTAGAGACATTTTGGGCCAGAGGCCAAATCTGGATAATATACTGGACTTTCTGAAAGTCATTAATATGTATAGAGAAATATGATTATTTATTTATTGTATAGTTTTATTTACTTCATGGTGCATATTTAAATTATTGTATATATTTTTTGTTGTTGTGTATTTATTTATTTATTACATTTTAGATTATATATATATATATTACCATTGGCTTTTTAATGGTCAAACTGTTCTGTATATATGTGTTTTTCTATTTACTGTATTTTATACCTTCAAGCATACCATGTGTCGTGGCGCAGTATAGCCTGCATGGCTTTTGTGCCAATAAAAATTAACTAACTAACTAACTAACCATACTTGCCCGACTCGCCAAGGGACTTAAACCTCCCCTCTGACATTCTCCAGATTCAATCTCACTCAATAATAATTCTGGGCTTTCCTTCTGATTATTTAAAGGCTGGAACCAACTTTTTGATGGAGGCGTACTTTTACAATGACGACCAGTTGAGGGAACGGGACTTTTTCTCTGACAGTCCATCACCTCCTGCCTACTTGTCGATGAATCTCTATCTCTTATTTGCTTTTCCAGAGGTCTTAAAGGACTCCTCAAGGGGACATTTTCCCTCTGACGGTCGAATGACTGAGCCCGACTCGCTGACGGGAAATTCTTTCCCGTCCGACGGTCCATGTCAACCTCCTATACTTATAAAAATAAAAGTCCAACAGAACCATACACTCCAAGATAAAACTAAGTCTTCCTTCTTATAAGTTTTTAAATTTAATTTAAAACTTCACTAATTTTATATCAATCTGTATAGAGATCGAAAGCTTCGGAACACGCCCCCTTAAGGAGCTGTTGAGGTGTTTATCTTCTTATTTTACTATTAATTGCTTTTTTCGTTTAAAATTTATTATATCACTACTTTATTTCTTTTTTTATTGTTATATTTAGTCTTATTTTATAGTCACTACTCACATTTCTTGCACCAGAAGTTCAAATCTTTCATTAGGCTTAGCATCTCGGCATAATATCACCAAAGTTCAAAAAAATCCAAAAATAATCATTATTAAACGACAAATTATGTTTTGCTAGGTTATTAGTACTCCAAAAGTCAATAGAGAACACACTTCACACACCAAATAGACCTGTAACAGGAAAACTTAAGCTGCTCCCATTTTTCTGCCAACAACGCCAGGATAAGAACAGATACTTTTAATTAAAGTTTAATAAAACACTGGTTGATTACATTTCAGCACGCAGGCTGTGAGAAAACACTTCAAGAATTTCGAATACAGGCTTTATATTTTGACAATTGCTGGCTATAATCACCATAATAAAATAACAAAAGTATTTACAAGTATGTACAAAGGTTGGTGATTATGGCCGGGATGAACAGTTACACATATATACTGACACATAGTTACATTTATTAGCAAAAACAAGAAACAATCGCATTACAAAAGTGTATGATTAAAAGATCGAGAGCATTACAGCGAAGACGAGGGTGATAAAAACACAAGGTGCTCGATGAGCAGGATGTGGAGAGTTCCATACACCTCCGGTGATGGGTGCACGGAAAGCAGACAGGACGACATATAGGGCTAGCTGTCAATGATGGTGTAGTAGTTGTTTTCTTTTTTCCATATATTGTCTATGGTGCCACGATATAGGGTCATAAATTCTTTCTCTGTGAAGAGGTTTTGATCGGTTTTTATTTTTAGATTGGCCTCGTTTTTTATTTTGTTGATTGTGAGAGTGGCATTCCACCTTTTTTTGTCATAGTGGAGGGCGCATCTAGCTTTCCATATGATTCTTTTCGAGAGAGCTGTCAACCAATTAATACAGTAGGTGTTCTGGTTCTTCACTGGATAGTTCATGTGGTATTTGATTGTGTTTCAAGAGAGGTTGACTTTGAAGATTTTATCAACCCAGTTCCAGATTTTATTAGCAAGTGAGCATTCATGGTAGAGATGAAATATGCTTTCATCTCTAGAGCATCTTGGACATTTAGCATTGGATATACGGTGGTAAGTATGGAGGTACTCCTTGGTCATAGTAACGTTGTTGATGGCTCTCCATGCTGTCTCCCTCCATTTCGCCGGGGAGTCTGCCGAGGTTTAACCAAGTTTTGTTCCATACGATGATATTGTCATTTATGTTACTGTTCGGACAATGAGTAAAGATGTTACGATATATGGTGCTTGGCTTGTTGTTTGCATTCACTTGATTGATGCTCACAATTGTGTTGATCGAGGTTCTCCACGCGGTGAGGCGTTTATCATTGTCTAGAAGGAAGGGTCTATTAGGCTGGTCTGGCAGAAGTTGCCTTAATGTCGGGCCAAGGATGTACATGGCCACATCTCGAAGAGGATGCTGGTGAGAAAGGATGGATTTCAGGAGGTTGGAGACCTGTAGGGAATGTTCTAGTGATTTTAAGTCCCACACCTGCAAATCGCCATGGTTGATGATGTTCTTCATGATGTTTCTATTTAGGGGTTCAAAATCGCTCTGCCAAATATATCTGAATATGAGTTTATCCAGTTTTCTGGCTTCCTGACTATTTAGATTGGTTATGTACATAGTGTATATAATTTTAGCCGTGAGTACTTTATTGGAGATGATGACTCTTTCAGGTAGATAGAGCCAGACCTTTTCCCAGTGTGTAATTGCATTTTTAATTTTCTTTTCCATGTCTTTGAAGTAGTTGTTGTTGTTATTTTTGCCAAACCATACACCTAGGATTTTGGTGTCGTTGATGGTTTTGAACACTGCTATCTAGCTTGACTTGTCCATTTAAGTTGAGTATTTTACTCTTGCTTAGGTTTATTTTTATTCCGGTTAGGTTACTGAAATCGTTAAGTTTTTGAGTTATTTTATTGAGGGAGATGTTGTTGTTTATAAAGAGGTTAATTTCGTCAGCGTGAGCGATGTATTTGATTTTGTCAGACATACCCGGGAGGTAGATGGGAGTGATATGGTTGTCGTTGTTTATCATGGTGAGTAGCCATTCCAGATAAATAGCAAATAGGACCATCGAGCAGGGGCAACTATGCCTTACTCCCGCCTCAGTTTATAAATTCAGAGTCCTTGTTGTTAATGGTTATTTTGGTCCTCGGATTGATGTAAAGGGTTTTAATTCTATCTAATTCCTTTTCGCTAAGGCCGTAGGCTTCTAATATTTTCCACATAATGTCTCTATTAACTGTGTCAAATGCTTTTTCGACATCGATGGATAGTATCGAGAGAGGGGTTTTTCTCTTGCAGTAAATCTCTTGTATGAGATTTAGAAACATGATGTTATCTTGGATGGAGTGGTTTTTCATTCCAGCAGTTTGCGTGTTACTGATGTGATTTTGAAATATCTCTTCTACTCTTTTAGCTATTATAATACTATAGATTTTGTATTTGGTATTAGGGATGGTTATTGGTCTATAGTCGCCAACTTGCCCACTTTCTCTGCGTTTTTTGTTGATTAATTTTATTCTACCTATGTTGAAATCCTGAGTGTATGTGTCTTTGTTGTACAGGGTGGAGAGGATGTCGGCTAAGTCGTCTTTAAAAAAGCGATAGAATTCTGCAGGTAGGCAATCTATGCCTGGTGCTTTCCTTACATGTAGTTCGTCTATGGCGTTCATAACTTCTTCTCTTGAGATCTTTTTGTTGATTTTCTCGTCTTGTTTGCTTTTTACCGGTTTGATTTTTTTTACTATTGCGTGCCATCTGTTCCAGTTAGTGTCCGGTTTTTTGTATAGCTTAGTATAAAATTTATGGCATTCGGCCATGATACGTTGTTCATCTGCTATGTGTATACCATTTACAATAAGGGTGTTTAGGGAATTATTTTCGTTTGGTTTGATTCTCTTTTTGAATATAATTTTTTCGGTGTGTCTTTCAATTCTCATTCTAATCATCTTGTGCCTAATATAGTTATTCTTAATTTTGTTTTCGAACTCTTCAGTGATGTTATTTTCTATTTCCTTAGCTGCTTCTTTTTCATTGTTTATGATTTCTCTACTAAGTTCTCTTTGTAGGGATTTTATTTTGCGAAATTTATTGTTCTTGATCCTATGCCAAGTGTTTTTGGTGATGTTGATAATCGTTTTTTTACCTTTTGCCACTTCTGCCAGTTGATGTCCAGTTTTATATTGTCTAAGGTTGTTTTGACTTCATTTTGAAAGGTGGTGTCAGATAAGATGTTGTTATTTATCTTGATTTTGCTATATCTGCTTTTGTTGCTTGTCAGTTCTATGTCTAAGTTGATTAATTTATGGTCTGAAAGCCTTCTCCCATTGTTGTTAAGAAAAATGGTACTGATATTGACAATCTTGCCTAGGTACTTGCTTAAATATGTCCTGTCAAGCCTCTCTTTGATACCATTACCTTCTCATGTGTATCCATTGTAATGGGGGTATTTCGATCGATAAGCGTCTTTTAATTCATATCCCTCAATGAGGTCTTTGAGATACTTGCGGGAGCCGTCTGGGTATAGGTGGCAGTTCTTATCGGATTGTGTGAGGACACAATTGAAATTTGCCGCAACCAGAAGTTCCCTCCCTCCAATCAAGTAGTTTGGGAGGGTAGTGAAGATGGTTTTTCTATCAGTGAGCTGAGGAGGGGCATACAGGTTTACAATTCTTAACATTTTATTGTTTTTATTGATGTCAACACTCGGTATTCTCCCATTTGTGTCAGTCCTAAAGTCGCTTACCCTGATGTTTTTGTGGAGCATTGTGACGACCCCAGCTCCTCGTCTCGGGGCGAAAGAGATATATATGTTATAGAATGCAAAGAGTTTTCTCAAGTCATAGAAGTCGTACATATTTGTATCCTGTATTAGCAGAATGTCCGTGTTCTGCGTAGCAATCAGATTAAGTAGATAAATTTGTTTAGCTTCGTCCCTAATCCCAGAGATGTTTATTGATTTAATATTTAATTCGTTGAACTTGAATGTTACTTTTGTGTGGACTGGGATTGAACTCTCTTGCTTTTCCTGGTATTCTTTTTGTCTACTTTGGTTATAATTTTTTCCACCTCATCTATTATTTCTTCCCTCGATAAGCTTGCATCCAGGCTTATCGAGAGAATTTTTTCCCTTACGGCTGCCGTTTCTTTGTCCTCATCTATCATTTCTTCTAAGCTATTTATGTTTTCTCTGCTCTCTTTTTCTGTCTCTTCGGTTTCTACGTTTTCTGTTTTTTCCTCACTTTCTGATTGATTTTCTCTATTTGTCTCTTTCCCATCCCCCTCGATGTGGGTTCCTGTCCGTGGTGAGGGGACCTCCCAGAGATGGTTTAGAA